CTTTCTTTAAGATGTATTTATTTATTCTAGAGAGTATGCAGGGGGAGGGGCAGAGGAAGGAGAGAGAGAGAGTCTCAAGTGGGCACCCTGCTGAGCATGGAGCCCCATGCGTGGCTCAATCCCAGGTCCCTGAGGTCTCACCCTGAGTGGAAACCAAGAGTCGCATTCTCAACCGACTGCACCCCTGGGTATCCCCATATACCTCCTTTTCTAGCAGAACTAGCTTTAATGTCACCGTCGACACACCTGAGCCTGACACAGGGCTCAATCCCAGGATCCGTGAGATCATGACCTGAGCTGAAGGCAGACACAACCCACAGAGCCACTGGGTGCCTCTAATTCTGCATTTCATATGATGTTTGTAGCTTTTGGATTTTCCTTTGCAGGTTCTTTCTTTTCTTTTCTCTTTTTTTTTTAAGATTTTTAAAAAAGATTTTATTTATTTATTCATGAGAGACACAGAGAAAGAGAGAGGCAGAGACACAGGCAGAGGGAGAAGCAGACCCCATGCAGGGAGCCCAATGTGGGACTTGATCCCAGGACTCCAGGATCACGCTCCGGGGCTGAAGGCAGGTGCCAAACCACTGAGCCACCCAGGGATCCCTTTAGATTTTATTTATTTATTCATGGGACACAGAGAGAGAGGCAGAGACACAGGCAGGGGGAGAAGCAGGATCCCCGTGGGGAGCCTGATGCGGGACTCAATCCCAGGACCCTGGGATCATGACCCGAGCCAAAGCCAGATGCTCAACCCCTGAGCCACCCAGGTGTCCCTGCAGGTTCTTTCTTTAACAATTTTAAGCACAAATTGCTGGTCGGTTATGTAACTGCATTTTAAGCATTTGTTTCTATTTTTTTTCCTTTCATTTATGGACATTAAATTGGGTTAATAATTCCCTAATGCTTAACCATCCTTGCATTCCTCAAACACACTCTCTTGGAAAGTCTGCTTTCCATATAAAGTAATGCTTGGTGTTTTACACTTCTCTTCAGCCAGATCAGGTTATAGGGGCTCTGGGAGGAGGAAAGGGAAGAAAATGATTAGGTTTGAGTACTAAAAATGCCATCTTTAAAATGAATTGGGAAGCTTTGAATTCCAATATCAACAACCCAGGATTTGTACGCAGAATGAATATGGTGATGAGGTTAGATCTCCCTGCATTTTCTCTTGCAATTTTTAGGGTTTTGTCTCTTCATTCAATTTTGATAACTAATGTGTCCACAAAACATTCATTGTATCTAGATTTCAAGTATCTTAAGAACCTGAACATAATTCCTGTCAATTTTTCCCCCCTCAGCTTGACCACCTTTGCTCTCTTAGTTATTAAAAGGAAAATATTTGTTTTGTTGAGCTTTCCAGAGATTTGCAGATTTGTCCTCTTTTTTCATGAACCAGCCTTTGGATTTTTTTGTTTTTGCTTTTTAAAAAATAATTAGAGGGGATCCCTGGGTGGCTCAGCGGTTTAACGCCTGCCTTCAATCCAGGGTGTGATCCTGGGGTCCCGGGATCAAGTCCCACATCAGACTCCCTGCATGGAGCCTGCTTCTCCCTCTGCCTGTGTCTCTGCCTCTTTCTCTCTCATCAATAAATAAATGAATAAAATATTTTAAAAAATAAAGTGCTTGTATATGAGTGGAGGAGGAGCAAAAGGAGAAGGAGAGAGAGGATCTTTCTTTTTTTAAAGATTTTATTTATGTATTCATGAGAGACAGAGAGAGAGAGAGAGGGAGAGACACAGGCAGAGGGAGAAGCAGGCTCCCTGTGGGGAGCCTGATGGGGGACTCAATTCCAGGACCCTGGGGTCACACCCTGAGCCAAAGGGCTCAACCCCTGAGTCACCCAGATGCCCCTGCAAGAAGTATTTTTTTTTGAAGATTTTATTCATTTATTCATGAGACACACACACACACACACACACACAGAGGCAGAGACACAGGCAGAGGGAGAAGCAGGCTCCATGCAGGGAGCCCGACATGGGACTCGATCCCGGGTCTCCAGGATCACACCTTGGACTGAAGGCGGCGTTAAACCACTAAGCCATCCAGGCTGCCCTTTAAGAAGTATTTTTAAAGGGACTTCCAAGCACACTAAGTAAAAGCAAGCTACCAATTCTATAGAAGAAATGGGAAGTTTCTCTCACCTGGTCCAAAAGGCAGTTTTTTAGTAAAAAAAAAAAAATCTATCTATCTATCTATCTATATATATATATATCAGAAATAATTTCCTCCAAGTCTTTTTTTTTTCTGTAGCTGAGGGGCACTTGGGTGGCTCAGTCAGTTAAGAGTCTGCCTTCCACTCAAGTCATGATCTGAGGGTCCTGGAATAAAGCCCAAGTCGGGCTCCCTGCTTAGTGGGGACTGTTTCTCCCTCTCTCTCTATAATCTCTCTCAAATAAATAAATAATTTAACAAATAAAATTAAAAAATAAAAAATTGTAGGGCAGCCCCGGTGGCTCAGCGGTTTAGCATCGCCTTCAGCCCAGGGCGTGATCCTGGAGACCCAGGATCAAGTTCTGCGTCGGGCCCCCTGCATAGAGCCTGCTTCTCCCTCTGCCTGTCTTGGCCTCTCTCTCTGTGTCTCTCATGAATAAATAAATATTTTTTAAAAATAAAAAATTGTAGTTGACAATATTAGGTCAGCTTCAGGTGTGTACCAGAGTGCTGACAATATACATGAAGCTGTGTTCACTGGGCTAACTGTAGTTACCATCTGCCACCACACAGTATGATTAGCGTTTTGGATTCTATTCCCTACACTTGTACTTTTCATCCTGGATTTATTTTTCAGCTGTAAGTTTGTACGTCTTAATCCCCTTCACCTATTTTGCCCACCCTCCCAATTTTTCCATATGCATCTTGTGTCTTTCGGATTAGAGACATCCTAGTAGCGTGAAGCAGTATCCGGTAGGTTTGATTTGCATTTCCCTGGTGACTAATGATGTACATCAATTTTTAAAAAAGATTTCATTTATTCATGACAGAGAGAGAGAGAGAGAGAGAGAGACAGGCAGAGGGAGAGGCAGGCTCTGTGCAGGGAGCCCGACATGGGATTGGATCACACCCTGGGCTGAAGGCGGCGCTAAACCGCTGGGCCACAGGGGCTGCCCTACATCAATTTTTCCTGTGCTTGTTGGCCATTTGTAGATCTTCTTTGGGCAAATGTCCATTCAGATCCTTTGCTTATTTAAAAAATTGGATCATCTTGGGGTTGTCTGAGTGGCTCCGTCAGCTAAGCGTCTGACTTTGGCTCAGGTCATGATCTTGGAATCCTGGGGCCAAGCCTCACATTGGGCATTTTGCTCAGCTGGGAGTCTGCTCGTCCCTTCTGCCCCTCCCCACCACTTGTGCTCTCTCTAATAAATAAATAAGATCTCAAAGCAAACAAACCAACCATTTAGGGACTCCTGGTGGCTCAGTGGTTGAGCATTTGCCTTCAGCTCAGGGCGTGATCCCGGGGTCCTGAAATTGAGTCCTGCATGGGGCTCCTTGCAGGGAGCCTGCTTCTCCCTCTGCCTGTGTCTCTGCTCTTTGTGTCTCTCATGAATACATTTTTTAAAAAGTTAAAATATTTTGAGAGAGACAAACACACAGAGATAACGACAGAGAGCACAAGAGGGTAGGAGGAGAAACAGGGTCCCCACTAAACAGGAAGTCTGATGTGGGGCTCAACTACAGGACCCCAGGATCATTGATCATCTGAAGGCAGATGCTCAATCAACTGAGCCACCCAGATGCCTTTAAATAAAATCTTAAAAAAAATAAATATCTACATAATTTCCATTTTTCTCTCCAAGCCCATCATCCTGAAATAATCACTATAATCCAAATCTTATCTGTGGTCCATCACCACACTCATTATTTCTTTTAAGACCCAAGGATTGATGAGGGTCTCTTATGGCTCATAAAGTCCTACTTGGAATCTTGGTGCTGGGCACATTAACACAGGGAAAATAGTAGCATTTTTTTTTTTTTAGTAGCAATTTTTTTAAAAGTAGACTCCACGCCAGTGTGGAGCTTGAACTCACAACCCCGAGATCAAGACCTGAGCTAAGATTGAGTCGGACATTCAACCAACTAAGCCATTCTGGTGCCCCCCCAAACGGTAGCAGTTTAAGGATAAAGAAATATAGGTAGCGTAGAGCCTTCAAATATTTAATAAAATGGAAAGATTTCTTTGCTATTTAAATCCTTACACAGCTGACAGGGCATCTGGGTGGGGTGTAGCGGGTTAAAACACGTCTGACTCGTGTTTTCTGCTCAGGTCATGACCTGAGGGTTGAGATCCAGCCCCATGTTGGGTGAAGGGTCTGCTTAAGATTCTCTTTCCCTCTCCTCTCATCCCCGGGTCACATGCAAGCAATAAATATTTAACAAAAAATCAGTCACACACTCACTCTCGTAACCCTGAGAGTATGATTCACCGTTGCACAGACTTCCCATACTCTTCCTGGCCCCTGCGTACACACCACTGACGGCTCGCTGCCCATCAGTCAGCTGGGATGGTGCCTAAGCCTTAGAAACCCAGCAGCATGACCTGTGCCTTTTCATTGCAATTCAGAATTTTCACCAATTCCCCCACCGTGGCTTTCCCTCATCAAAAAATGAGTATCTTGCTTAAGAAGTTTAAATCTGCCATTTATGAGAGAATTTTCAAATGAAACAAAGGGACAAGGTAAACTGGTGCTCATGTTCAATCAGGACAAAGTCACAGGCCAAAGAATCACTTGGTGTTGCAAAGTCCTTATTTGGTTAAAGTTTGGGATTAAAAACCATACAGCTGTCTCTCTCCCATTCCCAAATTCTGTCCCGAAGAGACAGACTAACATGATTATGTACGTGAGTTTGTCTCTGCCAAACAGTCCTTTAATCTCCATCTCTGAACACGTGAAGCAAGTCTGGCCGCGTTCCCAGATCATCTTGTTTCTGTGCAAGAACAATTGGATTATGCTAATGCTCTACATTAAGTGTATACCCGAAAGCTACAAGAACAGCCCAATGACAATTTTTTAAAAATATTTATTATTTATTCATGAGACACACACATAGAGAGGCAGGCTCCCCGTAGGGAGCCTGATGTGGGACTTGATCCCGGATCCTGGGATCACGTCCTAAGCTGAAGGAAGATGCTCAACCACTGAGCCACCCAGGCGTCCCATTTTTGTATTTTAGAAGCTTTTGTGACGTAAGGAGTTGATGTCACAATCTAATTTGTGAGTACTAAAAACCAAAAGCTCTCACTCCTCTGACTTGCTGGAGGACCACCTGAAGCTGGACTTGTTTCTGGAGCACGTTATCTTGGAAAGCAGGCTTCATTGGGCCTCTGCTGTAGGACAGTGCCTCCAACACTTACTGCCAGGGACATGGACCTCAATTCAAATCCAGGGAGAGGCTGAGTACCTCAAGAGTCCTTTCCTGCTCCAGAATATATTTGATGGTCATCCAAAGTGTTCCCAGTGTACATGGGAGTAAATCCACGCAGGCTGAGGGGTCTGGATTCAACCCGGTGCCTCTACCCACGGCTCCCTGTTGACTAACCTCACTGAATGCACGCTAACTCAGTGACCCACAGACTTGGCCGATGACCACCAAAACCAATTATTTTGATCTCAAGGGTCCTTTCCAAAACCCAGCAAGGGTTTCTCATAAGTTCCACAGTGAGCCCACTCTAGGCCTGAGGAAAAGCACTGGGAGGGTTTGCACAAACCAGGGTTAACAGAGCCTCAGTGAGCAGAAGGTGGAAAGCAGACGGGGTAAGGACCACATGTTAGGGATTCAAGTCAAAGCAACAGTGTCGGGAAGGCCCGCATTGCTCGGCAGTAAACGGCAGGCTCTAGTAAGTAAATGGACAGCCACAGAGAAGCAGAGACAAGTGCTGTATTTTCCCTGTCATATTGGCAAATACACAGAAGGGCAACTTAAAAAATGGATTTATTTCACAACTACTGGTTCTCTTGTGCACGAACATACGTGAGAATTACCTGCGAAGGTTCTAAAAAATATTTAAGTCTTGACCTCATGCCCGGAGAAGGCTGCAAGGAGTAGGGGCTTGGGACTCCAGCCATTTTCAAAAAGCTCTTTGGGGAGTTCGGAGGTTTCCTTCTGCTTGAGTTTCTTGATTTTTAGGTTGACTGGGGTACTTTGCGCTTTTTGGGCCACTGTTTGGGGGTGTGGGGAGCTTTTTTTGCAGATTTATTAGCAGTAGTAAAGAACCTGGCTCCTGGCTTTTTGGTCTTCTGTCTTGGGTCTTTTTTCCCCAGTGAAGAGTTTCTTTCTTTCTCTGCCTCTTCTTTGATTCTTGGCTTCTTCTCCGGGCCGTTACCTGGAGTCTTGGCCTCTGCAGCCTTCGGGGTCTGCAAACTTGGACAGGCCTTTCTCTTTTTTCCACGGGGTCTGTTGGGACCAGGACTCTTTTTTTGAGACTTCTTTCCTTCAGCGTGGTTTTGCACCTAAGAAAAAGCAGAGTAAGTCCAAGGGAAAAGAAATCCTGATATTGTAACTCCAAGAGCTAGTATCTTTTTTTTTTTTTAAAGACTTTTTTTAAAATTTTTATTTATTTATGATAGAGAGAGAGAGAGAGAGAGAGAGAGAGGCAGAGACACAGGCAGAGGGAGAAGCAGGCTCCATGCACCGGGAGCCCGACGTGGGATTCGATCCCGGGTCTCCAGGATCGCGCCCTGGGCCAAAGGCAGGCGCCAAACCGCTGCGCCACCCAGGGATCCCCCAAGAGCTAGTATCTTTATCATGTCACCCCTAAAAAGTATACCTCAATACAATGGGATGGAGGTGGCTTTGCCTTTTGCCTCACAGGCATTTTGAAGGGCACCTGTTTTCCATTAAAAACTGTAGCAAGGACCCTGGTGATCTCCATCAGGTCCAGTCAAAACAGAACCACCTTTGTCCTTGGTAGGGACCCCTGAAGTGCCCAGTGGGGGCATCACAGGGAGCCTGTGCCCCAAACCTGACTCTTCCGCACCTTCAGTAATAAACGCCTTGCCTGTGGGTTAGGACAGGAAGTTCCCAGCCTGTGTGTGTCAAAACCACCTGGGTGGCCTGTCGGGAAACCCTGCTTCCCAAAGGCAGACTGGGAGTCTCTTAGGCAAGTGTGCTGCACAAAAGGAGGCCTGCACTTGCCGGGACCTCAGGTGACTGCTGCTGGACAGGACTCCAGCGATGGGCACGTCCAATATGGGAGGACATTAGAGAGACGACAACCACCAGCAAAGCAAAACTTCGCTTTTTTAGTAAATGTAAAACAACAGGATTATTATGGGAAATTTGGAAAACATAAGAAATGTAAAAGAGGGATCCCTGGGTGGCGCAGCGGTTTGGCGCCTGCCTTTGGCCCGGGGCGCGATCCTGGAGACCCGGGATCGAGTCCCGTGTCGGGCTCCCGGTGCACGGAGCCTGCTTCTCCCTCGGCCTGTGTCTCTGCCTCTCTCTCTCTCTCTCTCTCTGTGTGTGACTATCATAAATAAATAAAAAAAATTAAAAAAAAAAAAAAGAAATGTAAAAGAAACAAAATTCTCTAATAACTATAGCACACAGTATTAACTACCTATTATTCACTACCTTCTCCCCACAAGTGTGCATACATTTAAAAGCCAAATGTTGAGGCGCCTGGGTGGCTCACTGCAGTTGAGCATCTGCCTTTGGCTCTTGTCATGGTCCTGGGGTCTATGTCAAACAGACCTTAAATCTGTAATTTGGGATGGAGCCCCACATTGGGCTCCCTGCTCAGTGGGGAGTCTGCCCCTGCCCCCCACTCATGCTCTCTCTCTCTCAAATAAACCAATCTTTAAAATAAATAAACAAAAGCCAAACATTATGCCCTTTCCCCAATAACTTCATTAGCATCTCCAAGGACACTATGAAGACTTCCTTACTGAACATTATTTTGAATTACATATAAAAACTATTGCCAAGGGTACATGATGTGTCCTCATCTGTGCCTCTACAGTGAACGATAATAAAACTTCTGTATGTCATTCCCCGGATCCTGTTTCCTAATTACGGGGCAGGGCAGGACGCACCATTAGAAACGGAACCACTGCCCAAATTTCTCCCCTGACCTGCGTTTTAAAGCCACGGGCAGTGTTTCCTAGAATTATAATGAACATCAATAAAAAATACCTCTATGTTTTCTTTTGCTGGAGTCCCTATTGGTACGAGGAGTGGGATCTCGTCTTCGGACTCGTCTTGCACCTTCTGCTGGGTTTTTCCTTTACCGGCCTCTTTCTTCTCACGAGCTTGCATCTTCTCCTTCTGCAGGGCAGGGTCCTTCGCAGCAGCATCACTAATTTTGGGGTCCGCATCCTCTTCCTTTGGGGCCAATGCAGCCTTTTTAGCCTGTTTCTCAAGCCTTTTGTTTTTTCTCTTCTCTTTTTGTTTTTCACGATACTCTTTTTGTTTCTGTTTTTTCTTTGCTTCCTACAAAACAAACAAACAAACAAACAAACAAACCCACACAAGACCCCAGCATAATTTTAGTAAGGGATACGCTTGTTGGCAAATAAATGGCACAGATTTAGCACTTCCAGTTCTTATGAACTGTAAGCTCCTGGAAAATGCCTCAATCTGTACCTACTCTGAGCAAACAAACCCTGTTATCAGCATTTGCACATCAAGTCCACTTTGGTTTTGGCTCATAGCGCAAGATGCGTGCTCTGTGAATTACACGTTGGGACTCAGAACCCGGGTGTCTGAAGTATGCAATCAGAGCTTCTGTAAAAGCTGATCTTGTTTATGGGGGACTAAGGAATTATCCTAAATGTAGAGTATTCTGATGTGATTTATCTCAATAAAATTGTTTCAAAAAAACTCACAACTGATTTTTTTCCCCCTACTTCAGGGTTGTGGCTGAGAAGTTAAAACAGCAACTTTACACAGCTAGAGGTCCGTTATCCTAACTACACAGTCACGTTAGGTAACATCCATAATCGTGTCCAATTCCATTTTAACCAGCAATTCCAACACTTTCACAAAGTCCTCAAATGAATCTGCTGACAATTGGCAAAAAACGCAGATTCCTTGCTTCTGAGAACAGCAATCTGGTTTTTTTTGGGTCATCTTCCCAATGAAAATAAATAAAAAATTAGGGTTAAAATATATTTAAAAAAATTTTTTTTTCTTGAAGTCATCAGGGAACCAACTACCTGCAAGACATTTTTAAAACAAAAACCCAATGGGTAAGTGAGCCCAGAAGCAAATTTTGCCAAGAGTATTTGCTGATCTCTAATTTTTAACAGGGGGTCCAAGCGGATGGAGAGAAATCAAACCCCAGTGTCCACACCAGTCAGGGATTCTAAGAGGAACTCCCCATGACAAGCTGGGAGGCTAGTGAGTTACTCTCAGGGTAAAGATGAACAGGAGGCGGAGCTGTGCAGACTCTCAGCATGGTTTGCTCTGAATCGTTCAGGGAATCTCAAGCCTTAAATGTGCTTTCAGGGAGCCCTGGGCCCCAAGGTACCCAAGAGATGGAAATGGAAGTCCTCTAGATTAAGATCTTCATCCTCCACCTCCAATTATTTCTACAAAAATTTCCCAAATGCGATGACCACAACACAAAGACAACTGAGCCCACAAGGAACCAGCAGATGCACAGACCAGCTGTGACACCAACACTGGTACTTCTCGACTGATCAGACAATAAATAATAATGTTTAACATGTTCCAGGAATGAAGGTGAACTGGAAGACTATTTACAGGTAGGTAAAAAGAAAGTAAAAGAAGTAAAGCCGGGGATCCCTGGGTGGCGCAGCGGTTTGGCGCCTGCCTTTGGCCCAGGGCGCGATCCTGGAGACCCGGGATCGAATCCCACATCGGGCTCCCGGTGCATGGAGCCTGCTTCTCCCTCTGCCTCTCTCTCTCTCCCTGTGACTATCATGAATAAAAAAAAAAAATAAAAAAAAAAGAAGTACCCCCTTTAAAAAAAAAAAAAAAAGAAGTAAAGCCAATTTGAAAAAGAACAAAATGGGCAGCCTGGGTGGCTCAGCGGTTTAGCGCTGCCTTCAGCCCAGGGTGCGATCCTGGAGACCCGGGATCAAGTCCTGCATCCGGCTCCCTGCATGGAGCCTGCTTCTCCCTCTGCCTGTGTCTCTGCCTCTTTCTCTATCTCTCATGAATAAATAAATAAAATCTTAAAAAAAAAAAGTGACCTTTAGAAGAAATAACTAACCAACCCAAATTAAAAACCCACTGAACACGATTAACAACATGGCTAAAGAACAGACGTCTGGGTGGCTCAGCAGATGAGCCGCCTGCCTTCTGCTCAGGGCACGATCCAGAGGTCCAGGCTTCTTGTGGGGAGCCTGCTTCTCTCTCTCTACCTATGTCTCTGCCTTTCTCTGTCTCTTGTGAATAAATAAATAAAATCAAACACACACACACACACACACACACAAACATGGCTAAAGAAAAGTGCTAGCAAACTAAGAGAGGTGACTGGTCTAACACATAGAAAAAAAATCTGAATTTTCTCTTGTTTTGGCTTTTTTCGGGGGCAGAGGGGCAACAGTACAAATAGTGCTAAAAACCTGCAAACCCAAACTGAAAGGTTACCTGCTAGCCTAACACAATCTTAAATTCTGTCCATAAAAGTTATTTTTTTTAATGATTTTATTTATCATCATAGAGAGAGAGAGAGAGAGAGAGAGAGAGAGAGAGAGAGAGAGAGAGGAACAGAGACAGAGGTAGAGGGAGAAGCAGGCTCCATGACGGGAGCCCGATGCGGGACTCAATCCTGGGCCTCGGAGGATCGCACCCTGGGCCAAAGGCAGACGCTAAACCGCTGAGCCACCCAGGGATCCCCCATAAAAAAGTTCTTAATAAACTAGATTTAGGTTTTCTTTTAGCTCCTCTTGCCACTACACAGGCTCCTGCTGAGCCTACTCAGCCCTTATCACTGACTTATCAATAAACACAAGATCCATCTACCTCAATATACTTTATTCACACCACTACTAAAGGGTCTCACATGAAAAGTGGGAACAATGCACACAAGAGCCCAACCACTGGAAAACCACTGAAGGTCAGGCAGGAATGGAATCTGCTCCTCTTCATGGGCCATGTTTATATCTGTGATTAAGTCTACCTGGTATTTAAAAATTCTACTCACCTTTTTCCTCTGACTAGGAGTGCATATTCCCTTGGCTTCATCCTTACAGCTGACAAATGAGGAAAAGATGGGCAGGGAAGCTGACCTCTCTGTCTTCACATACAAGAGTTTCACGCTTTCCCACTTCTGCAATAGACAAAAACCGTATCATCAGTCCATGTCCTGCTTCTTTTAAACGAACAATCAATGGGCGCATCTGTAAGACCGCACCTCTGGCAACTTTTGTGAAAGCCTCTTCGCAACAGCGATGATGTTATCAACGATGTGTTCAACCTCCATTCCAGTGTGGCCAACGCGGATGGTACTGAAATTTAATACACTATTAGACAAGTGGTTTTAAAAAATGATTTGTTTTTCAAAGTAAAGCACATTCATGTGAGAAACGTGAAAACATGACCCTTAAAAAAAATTTAAGGCAGAAACATTAAAATCTTCAGGGTTTCACTATTTTTGTTTTTGTAGTTGTTTTACAGAACTGGTATTTTTTAATACTGAAATTCAACTAATTTACATAGTGTAGTGTTAGTTTCAGAGGTAGAATTCAGTGATCCATCAGTTGTATATAACACCCAGTGCTCATTACATTAGTGCCCTCCTTAATGTCCATCACCCAGTTACCCCATCCCCCACCCACCTCCCCTCCAGTGACCGTTTATTTACTATGATTAACAGTCTCTTATGGGGGACGCCTGGGTGGCTCAGCGGTTGAGCATCTGCCTTTGGCTCAGGTTGTGATCCTGGGGTCCTGGGATTGAGTCCCACATCCCTCTACCTGTGTCTCTGCCTCTCTCTCTGTGTGTCTCTCATGAATAAATAAAAACAACCTTTAAAAAAATAAATAAAATCTTAAAAATGACTTAATTTGCTTAGTTTCAATGTATTTTAAAGGGAGATTATTATCTTTCATATTCTAGAAATGCCTTGCTCCTGAAATCATGTCATACTGTTAAGCGGTGATGGAAGAGCTGTGCTTAACGAAGTGAGGCCTATGGGTTTGTGGGCAGGGCTGGAGGAAGTTCTACCTTCATTCTAGAAAGCACAAGTCAGAGTCAGCCCTTGAACTTTCCTGAGGAGGGGCTGTTCTGGAAGGAAAGACCCCCTAGAAGGGATGCTTGCATCATTATGGTCCCCTACCATGGCCCAGCTGTCATCCTCTAAGATAAACAGTTCTCATCCCTCCTGTAATAGCATCCTCTGGCCAAGGGCAAGACCATCACTTCACCTGAAACAGGGTGCAGGTAGATGCCAAGTGGGAAGATCCTCTATTGCTCAGCCACTGTGTACCCTGTTCCTGCCAGTCCCCACCTTCCCAGGTGGAAGGCAGGCTCATGGTCTGCTGGGCGTCACAGCATGAGGAGGAGGCAGGGCTGGTGCTCTCACCTCCCTCCAGCCACAGACAAGACTCTGCCCACTGGGTGCTCACTGCCACCTGCAAGCACACCCTTGACTTCCCACATGGAAAGATGACGAGGGAGGGAGAGAGGGGAGAGGGGGAAGGGAATGAGGAGAGAGAAAGAGAATGAATGAGGGGCTGCAGGAGGGGGGTATGAAAGGAGAGCAAAGAATGGTCTGGGTGTTTGTGCTGTTTGTTCACTGTCCACAACACTCCCTAAGGAAAAGAGGAGACCGCTGCTGCCTCCCCCCACCAGCTGCTCATCCATCCCAAGACCTCAGGCCTATGACCTGCTAGTTAATCACTTCCCATGAGCCACTACTTTGGTGTCTGCCTATAACCAGAGCCAGGGCCTAGGTATGACAACCAATTCTTCTTAGCTGCTTCATTATAGCCAGTTAAGGGACCACCACCTGCAGACAAGACAACCCCAGAAAACCCCATCTGGCCCACCATACTCTGATCTGCCCACCATGGTGAGCAGAGTCAAGACAGTCCTGTTTTACGGTGTGTGCCACCACTCGATACTCAGAGGCTCCTGGGGTATCTTTAGGAGGGGCAGTACCCTACAGCTCTGCCCTACTGGCAGCTGCCCATCCCCAGACCACAGATTTCCCAGTCAGATTATTTTTATTTTTTTTCTTTTTTAAAGATTTTATTTATTTACTCATGAGAGAGAGAGAGAGAGGCAGAGACATAGGCAGAGGGAGAAGCAGGCTCCCTGTGGGAAATCATTTGAAATCATCATTTCAAAATGATTCTGAATATGATTAGAAGGCCCCTCCTCCTGCTAAACTGCCAAGCACTCAAACTTAACTGGCCCCTCAGCCCTAATAAAAAAGGTTTAGCCACATTCTCTGTCTGCTAGGGTAACCACCACTACCCTGAAGTCCCGAGATCGAGTTCCACATCAGGCTCCCTACATGGAGCCTGCTTCTCCCTCTGCCTGTGTTTCTGCCTCTCTCCCTGTGTCTCTCATGAATAAATAGTATCTTTTAAAAAAAAAAGTTTATGGGCAGCCCAGGTGGCTCAGCAGTTTAGCACTGCCTTCGGCCCAGGGCCTGATCCTGGAGACCCGGGATCGAGTCCCACGTCAGGCTCCAGTGCCAGTGTGGAGCCTGCTTCTCTCTCTCTTCTCTCTCTCTCTCTCTCTCTGTGTGTGTGGTGTCTCTCATGAATAAATAAAATCTAAATAAATAAATAAATAAATAAATAAATAAATAAATAAATAAATAAACAAAAAAGTTTATGCAATTATCATCAAATGAATCTAAGATTGAACGAGGCACACGTGGATACTTTTTGCCTACCTGCAAGAACCACTTTTAGAGATGTTTAAGACAGTGCCACCTATGCATTCATTAATCTCCCTGGATAAATTCTTGGCCAGAAGGTTCACAGGTACAGGAACTCTGTAACAACACACAAGTACTTGGAACAGAATGTATACACATCTATGACATTCACTCTGCTCAGATTCAGTTACCACCAAGAAACTTACTTCTTTCTGTGGTAGAAATGTCTCCCGAGGTGTGAAGGTAAGAGCCGCCTGATTCTCGCATCAGTAAGGAAGAAATCAAAACTGCCCAAGAGGCGGAGCTTGGCTTCATAGGCTTTATACTCCTTTTTTAGAGTTCGGAGGGGGATAATCTAGAAAACACAAGAAAGTAAAAACATGAAATGTTAAGAACTTGAACAGAAAGGAGAAACACTCAGGCTAATAATTTGTGCCCAGATCTTAGAATGTCCTAGAGCCACAGTTTAGTAAACACGTGGAGATCGCCAACACATGCCAAGCACTGTACTAACCGCTGAGGACATAGAGACAATGAGCTGGGACGCCAGAAAAAGAAAGGACACCAACAACTACAAACCACAACAGGGAAGCACCAAGTCAGAGGCAAACCTCGGATTTTCTGGAAGTGCAGACTATGATCTAACAGAGCAAGCTTCTGTAAAGCCTTCGAGACTTAAAAGTTACTGATATACACATTAGCTTTTAGGTGAGGGAATCTTAACAGTTCATCCATCATAGAGAAGATGGAATATGCCCTACTAAAGCCAAGGAAAACTGGAAAAATTGTTTTAAATGATTTTATTTATTTATTCATGAGAGACACAGAGAGAGGCAGAAACATAGCCAGAGGGAGAAGCAGGCTCCCTGCAGAGAACCTGATACAGAACTTGATCCCAGGACTCCGGGATCATGCCCTGAGCCAAAGGCAGATGCTCAACCACTGAGCTACCCATGCACCCCCCAAATTTGAAATAAGTAAAAAATTAAATTCCTAGGGGGCGTCTGGTTGGCTCCATCAGTGAAGCATGTGACTCTTGACCTCAGGGTCATGGAGTTCAAGCCCCACGTTGGGTGGAGAGATTACTTAAAAATAAAATTTTTAAAAAAGGAAGGGATGGATGAATAAAAATAAAATCTCTAGGAAAGAAATACTAGGTTACTAGGTAGTACGGGAACCTATTATTTATCACTTCAATTAAAAGACTGAATCGGGGCAGCCCCGGTGGCGCAGCGGTTTAGTGCCGCCTGCAGCCCGGGGTGTGATCCTGGAGACCCGGGATCTAGTCCCACATCGGGCTTCCTGCATGGAGCCTGCTTCTCCCTCTGCCTGTGTCTCTGCCTCTCTCTTCGCTCTCTCTGAATGAATAAATAAATCTTAAAGAACAAAACAAACAAAAAAAAACCTTAAAATGCTAAATCTTTAAAAAAAAAATAAAAAAGACTGAATCAGATCTTTTAATTGTCCTGAAAACATTAACCACGCCTGACCTGAGAAATGGTTTTAATTCCATGCTTGTTCAAAAGCTTCTTGTAAAACCGTTCTGTGTTTTCAGGAGTTAAATTGGGTTCATCCTTGGTAAGTAAACAAATATCTGTTAAATCTGATCGAATACCATGAGGCAAGGCCCTGCAAAATACAGAGATGGAACAGAAGAAAGTATTAGAAGAGACAAAATGTATATTTCTAGTCCATGGAATACACAATAAATTCAGTTATTTCAACAAATTTCGTTTTATTTAAGCAAATACTCTACCAGGAATATTTAAAAAATACATCTAATTTTCAATGGTACAGAAAAGAGATTTAAGATTCAAGTAAATCATCAATAAAATATTAATTAAGGTGGCTCAGTCAGTTAAACATCTGACTTTTGATTTTGGTCCAGGTTGTGATCTCATGGTTGTGAGATCAGCCCCACATTGGGCTCCATCCTGGGTGTGGAGTCTGCTTAAGATTCTCTCTCGCTCTCTCCCTCTGCTCCTCCCCTCCAGATAAACAAAATAAAACAGAATATCAATTAATATGTGGGATACAACCAGAGTTAAAATATAATCAAAGACTATGCAAAGTAGCGCATGTGAGGTTATTATTTTATAAGTTTTTATACGTCGATGTGTACTATAGTGTGCTAGAACTATCTGTAATGTCAGGATAGTTCTGGTTCGGAACTTCACCTTGCAGAAAACTCTGTACACAAAATAATACAGAAAACATGGAGCAAACCAACAGGGACCAACAAAAGTATGTTATTACAGTTGAGTCTTTAAAATTTTTTTTTAAAGATTTTATATTTATTTGAGAGACAGAGAGTGCACAAAAGCAGAGGGAGTGGCAGGCAGAGGTAGAGGGAGAAGCAGGCTCTCTGCTGAGCAGGGAGCCCGATGTGGGGTTGATTCCAGGAGCCTGGGATCATGATAAGCCGAAGGCAGATGCTTACCTGAGTCACCCGAGAGCCCCCAATTGAGTCTTTTAAAACGAGAAAAAGGTGTAACCCATTTCCTAGGCCTACACGTCCTGAGGAAACATTTCCTTAGTCTAAGAGGCGAAGGCGCATGACTTGCTGAACAAGACGGGGAGTGATATGGAGCCAGGAAGTGGTAGCAATCATCATGAATAGAGTAGCTGGGAAGATATCTTAGAGAAAGTAACAGGGCTTTCCAGAAAGGAGAAACTGCCTGAGCAGAGGTGTGGAATAAAGAATGCATGAGGGATACATAACCGACTAAGGTAACTTGCTGGGGCAGGTTTGTGGTCAGCAGTTAATAGAGAATCCGAGGATCCCAATTTCTAACCATCCTTACCAGCCCCATGTCCCCACTCATGGGGGGGGGGGGGAAGAAAAAGAAACCATCTCTCTGATATACTTTCTTCAGCACAACTGGCTTTTTTGGAGACTTCAAGAAATGAAAGACTTAAAAAAAAAAAAAAAGAAAGAAAGAAACGAAAGACTTCACAGAGGCAGGGGTGCCAGATAAAATACAGCACAAGTTAAACTTTAACCTTTCTGTGAGTTTTCTTTTAGTATTTATGTCCCAAATATTATAGGGGACCTATTTATACTAAAAAAATAACTTGTATTTTGGGGCACCTGGGTGGCACAGTCGGTTAAGCATTGACTCTTGGTTTCGGCCCAGATCATGATCTCCCAGTTGTGGGACTGAGCCCCCACATCCAAGCTCTGCTCCTCAGGGCAGAGTCTGCTTAAATTTCTCTCTCCCTTTCCTTCTGCCCATCCCGCTCATGCTCACGTGCACATGCTCTCTCTCTCTCAAATAAATAAACCTTAAAACAAAATAATACAAGTTTTATTTGCTGGCAATTCTGCAGAGAAGGCATCTCTGACCTAAGAGTCCTACCCATAGCAGTAAGAATGTGTGATCACCATGGATTTGTTTTCCAGAAAGCGCTCACTGCCAAGTTTTTAATCATCTGCATGAAGGAGTCTGGGACCTCAGGAGTTTAGCTTGGAAGCAGCATGATATGTAAAGATAACAGAATCTATACAAAAACAAAAGCTGTCTCATTTCTTCTAAAAACCAGGTTCTGCATCCAGTAGAACTAAGGTGAACTGTCCACCCAGCCCCAGAAAACTGGTGAAATGTTTAGGAAAGTTAAGCATGGCTGAATTTGTTTTGTTTTGTTTTTTAAGGCACAATTACATATTTCAACTCACATTTTTATCTTGAGTTTCCAAAGTTTCCACCAGAAACAAAAGGGCGATTGTTAACCGCTACACAGAATGACCAAGCAGATAACAAGGTCAAAGGCAGAAAATCAGAACTTACAGTCTGACCCTCAGTTCTTTACTTGGAATCTTCCATAATATCACCATTAAAAAGAAATTCTCATTCTCATTCAAAAGCAAGCCATTTGCGTTCTTCCTGGACCTGGAGTGTGCCAACAGCGCTTCCACCGCTTTTCGAATCTGCAAAGACACACAAATAAATTAAATCTCAATCTAATTTAATTTAGCATTTGCCCCATCCTCCCGCCCTTTTTCCTCTTGAAGTTCTATGTGAATAGGCCACCCCCACAACCATCTCCATCAGGATCCTACAACTTGGGATCAGACTCCATCAGAAACCACCCCAAGGGATCCCTGGGTGGCGCAGCGGTTTAGCGCCTGCCTTTGGCCCAGGGCGCGATCCTGGAGACCCGGGATCGAGTCCCACGTCAGGCTCCCGGTGCATGGAGCCTGCTTCTCCCTCTGCCTATGTCTCTCTCTCTCTCTGTGTCTGTGACTATCATAAATAAATAAAAAATAAATTTAAAAAATAAAAAATAAAAAAATAGAAACCACCCCCAAGAATGCGCTCAGCACCCGCCCACAGAAAAGGGCCTCTCCCACGTGAAGGCATCGGGCCAGGTGGGAACATGTTTCCCGGGCCCTCGAGGATGAAGGCAGAGATGCCGGGAAAAGCCGAACACACCACGACCAGCATTTAGTGAGCACTTACTATGTGCCAGGCCCCCGGCTACAGCGCGTCACGGGCCTCGCCTCCTCTGATCCGGGGGAGGAGCCGAAGCCAGCGGAGACCCCTTTCAAACCCGGGGTCACTGAGGCTTGCAAAATTAAGCGACCTGCCCAGGTCAACGGGTAGAGAAGCTGAGCCGGGGGGTGGGGTGGTCTCACTCCGGGACCCCCGGCTGCACTTTGCAATGCACCTGGGAGCCCAGGCCGCAGGGCTCGGGGGCGGCAGGCGCCTCCCCGCGTGCAGGAAGGAGGGTGCAGGCTGAGCTCAGCGCCACCCAGCGACCCTCCCCGCAACTCCGGAGGCACCCGCGGGGGCACGGAGCCTGCACCCGGCACCCCGCGCCTCCTAAGCCCACGGCCACCCCCGCTTCCGAGCCCCACTCCCCGCCGCCCCCTTGCTCACCTGCCCTTTGTCCAGCTGCTCCAAGCAGGCCGGGGTCTCTGGAGCGGAGGCCGAGGCTGCGGTTGAGGACGACGGTGACGGGGGAGCTGAACCCTCCATGTCGCCCTCACCTCGTGCAAGCGTGCGCGCGGGGACCGGGGGCTGGCTCCCCGTGCGCACGCGCGAGGACCGGGGGCTGGCTCCCCGTGCGCACGCGCGAGCCCTGGCCCGCCGCCGGAAGGTGCGGGGCGGGGCCGGGCTGTTCCGTCACATCCGGAAGCTCAGGGTCGGAAGCACAGGAAGTCCCACCCGCGGGGTTTCGCCGAATCGGGTCGGCGCCCGGTGTCCGAGAGTCTCCCGTGAGGCGCGGGAGCAGCCTGGCTGCTCCGGGCTCGCCCTCTGCCCCGGGGGCCGCGGGGGAGCGCCCGGAGGCGGGGAAGCGTGCGGCCGGAGAAGGTACAGTGCCCGCGCCCAGCACCCCCGCTGCCACCGTGGTCCCGGAGCCTTCCGGGGTCGGCCCCCGCACGTTCAGGAAATACTCGTTCTGTCTCTTTAAGGATACCTCGGCTTATTTATTTTTATTTTTTTTAATGTAAGATTTTATCTATTCATGAGAGACACACAGAGAGAGAGGCAGAGGCACAGGCAGAGGGAGAAGCAGGCTCCGTGCAGGGAGCCCGACGTGGGCCTCGATCCGGGGACTCCAGGGTCACGCCCTGGGCTGCAGGCGGCACTAACCGCTGAGCCACCCGGGCTGCCCTGGGTGCCTGGGTTTAAACGTAATCTTTTTTTTGTTTTGTTTTGTTTTTTTAAACACAGCTAGTACTCTGGTATGCCCGTCGCTCCGTTCGTTGGGTCTTCCTCCCCAATGCACGTATCTTGGAGGTTGACTCAAGTCGGTAGGTACCTCGTCCTCTTCCTGCCTCATCGTTAAAACCTGCCCAGCGGCCTTCACCATCAGGCAGGAAACAGGAGTTTGTTTATGAGCTTTTTGTTGGACATGCTCGTCCTGGCCTTTTTTTGCAGCCAGTTGTGGACCTCTTTGAGGGATGAAAGGACGAGCGCAGGAGGCCTTCCGTGTCTGTTTTCCCCGAAAAAAACGCGCCTTCCCTCTATCCAGAGCTGGAGGACATTGCTGGACTCTGGCAGCGACTTTGTAATCAAAGTGTGGAAGAAATGTTCTTTTTTTTTTTTTTTAAGATTTTGTTTATTTATTCATAGAGAGAGAGAGAGAGAAAGAAAGGCAGAGACACAGGCAAGGGGAGAAGCAGGCTCCATGCAGGGAGCCGGATGTGGGATTCCATCCTGGGTCTCCAGGGTCTTTTTTTTTATATATATAATAAATTTATCTTTTACTGGTGTTCAGTTTGCCAACATACAGAGTAACACCCAGTGCTCATCCCGTCAAGTGTCCCCCTCCGTGCCCGTCACCCATTCACCCCCACCCCCCGCCCTCCTCCCCTTCCACCACCCCTAGTTCATTTCCCAGAGTTAGGAGTCTTTATGTTCTGTCTCCCTTTCTGATATCTCCCACACATTTCTTCTCCCTTCCCTTATATTCCCCTTCACTATTATTCATATTCCCCAAATGAATGAGAACATACACTGTTTGTCCTTCTCCGATTGACTTACTTCACTCAGCATAATACCCTCCAGTTCCATCCACGTTGAAGCAAATGGTGGGTATTTGTCATTTCTAATGGCTGAGTAATATTCATTATACATAGACCACATCTTCTTTATCCATTCATCTTTCGATGGGCACCGAGGCTCCTTCCACAGTTTGGCTATTGTGGACATGGCTGCTAGAAACATCAGGGTGCAGGTGTCCCGGTGTTTCATTGCATCTGCATCTTTGGGGTAAATCCCCAGCAGGGCAATTGCTGGGTCGTAGGGCAGGTCTATTTTTAACTCTTTGAGGAACCTCCACACAGTTTTCCAGAGTGGCTGCACCAGTTCACATTCCCACCAACAGTGTAAGAGGGTTCCCTTTTCTCCGCATCCTCTCCAACATTTGTGGTTTCCTGCCTTGTTAATTTTCCCCATTCTCACTGGTGTGAGGTGGTATCTCATTGTGGTTTTGATTTGTATTTCCCTGATGGCCCTGGGCTGTAGGCCGCACTAAACCGGTGAGCCACCCGGGCTGCTGTGGAAGAAATGTTCTTGAATCTTCAGCATCTGCTCTCTTTTTCTCATCTATTCTAGAATTTTGTGCAAGAGAGAATTCATTTTGGGCAGCCCGGGTGGCTCTGGTTTAGCGCTGCCTTCAGCCCAGGGCGTGATCCTGGAGACCTGGAATGGAGTCCTGCGTCAGGCTCCCTGCATGGAGCCTGCTTCTCTCTCTGTGTCTCTGCCTCTTTGTGTGTGTCTCTATGAATAAATAAATAAAATCTTAAAAAAAAGAATTCATTTTAGCACAGTGTAGGCCTCGCGTATCAACGTTTTCTGGTGTTCTGAGAAGAGCATCAGGGCTGTGACGTGTGTCACTTGAATTCAAGTCTGAGAACAAGGCTTTATGAGACTGACGCGCTGCCTGCTGCGCTAAGAAGGCACCGGCTGAGAACAAGGCTTTTAGACCAGAAGGAAAGGCATGCCTTGAGGTTGACAAGCATGGTGGTGTTTGCATGTTTGCAAGTAGTAAGTGGCTGGAGCAGGGACATGCAGAAGGGAGGATGGGAGGTGAGGCTAGAATGGTAGGTTAGGGAATAATTAATTCATGACCAGGCTGAGGGGTGGTATGTACCTCAGAGAAATCTATAGGTATGTGGCTTTTTAACTGGCATGGGAGAAGAGGAGGTAGCCGAATTCATCACTAGGCTCTGGGAAGGTTCATAATCTGGCTGTGGTATTGTGGTGATATGAAAAATAGGACACACACCCACAGATTCTCTGATAATCAAGTGATGGTGCTTCATTCCCTTCCCCTTGAGTGTCACTTGCTTCTATCAGATATGACACAGCAGACTATAGTTTGCACTTTGAGTATTTTTCACCCACTGTGTCTACCCCCCTGCCGCCCCCCCTTATTTCCTTCTGTTCAGATTACTTGCTCTGGTGTAGACATCTACCACGTCCTGAGGCTACTCAGCCTGCTGCAACCATGGGAGTGAGCATGGAAGTGGATCCTCAAGGAGTCGGACCTTGAGATGACCACAAACTCTTGACAGGCTCTCAGCCAGGACCATCTAGCTGTGCTGTCTCCTGACCCAAAGAAAGTGTGAGATAATAAGTGTTTGTTATTTTTTTTTAATGCTTTTTTTTTTTTTAAGATTTCATTTATTCATGAGAGACACAGCGACAGAGAGAGAAGAGAGGCAGAGACACAGGCAGAGGGAGAAGCAGGCTCTATGCAGGGAGCCCGACGTGGGATCCCAGGTCCCCAGGATCAGGCCCTGGGCTGAAGGCCGCACTAAACCACTGCGCCATCTGGGCTGCCCAGTGTTTGTTATTTTAAACCATTAAATTTGGGGTAATTTGTTATCCATCATAGATAAGTAATGGGAATTTGTAGACCTTCTGTCTTCAGACCCATCAACTATGTTGACACAGAAGTCCTAGGAGGAGCTCACATCTAGTAGGCCCCGCAACAACTCTGTTATCTTTCCCATAGGCCTGCTCGTCCTGTATTTTCTGTCTCCATTTATGGCACCACCAGCCACCTAATTCCTCCCACCAGAATATGGGAGTCATCCTTAACTCTCTTCCTCATTTTCCATACACGGTCAATACCAAAGGCTTGTTTATTCCTTTGTTCTTATATTTTATTTTATTTTTTAAATTTAATTTAATTTTATTTATTTCAGAGAGAGAGAGAACACACAAGCATGAGCAAGGGGAGGGGCAAGAGGAGGAGCAGACTCCCCGCTGAGCAGGGAGCCCAACAAGGGGCTCAGTCCCAGGACGCTGAGATCATGACCTGAGGCCAAGGCAGATGCTTAACCTGAGACTGAGCCACCCAGGAGTCCCTTGTTTATTCCTTTTAAAAGTCTCTTGCATTTATCTGATTCTTTCTGCCCCTTCTATCCTGTAGTACAGGCCCGCATCTTATTTTCCCAGACTATCCTAACTCGTCTTCCTGCCTCCAGTTGTACATCTTGTAGTCTGTTCTCCATCCCCTTCAATGATCTATATAATCTGCAGATCTCATCCTATCAAAGCCAATCATGCTTAACCTCCTTCATTTAGTTATTCTTGTCATGAGGATAAGGTATAGATTCTTCCAAGTGCCTTACATATATCTGAGTTTTCATCTGTTATCTGGGGTCCTATCTGGTTTAGTATTTGTCCTGAAAAAAAGGGTCCTAGTTTGAAAAATAAATTAAATGGTCATCCACATTAGGCAGGCTACCTTCCATGTCCCCGACTTCGAACACTTCCCCTCACTCTTTGTTTTAGATCCTGCTTTCAGCTCTGCACCTTCTACTCTTTTTTTTTTTAAGATTTTATATATATATTTTATTTGAGAGCTAGAGCACAGTGAGACAGAAGGAGAAGCAGACTCCCCACTGAGCAGGGAACCCATGTGGGGCTCAGTCCCAGAGCCCTGGGATCATGATCTGAGCCAAAGGCAGACACTTAACAACTGAACCACCCAGGCACCTTCCACTCTGTCTCACACCTTCCCACGTACCCTAACTTCTTCCAGAATGCTGCTGCCTCCACAGTTGTTCTCCTGTAATTGGCTATTTTCTGTTTGAGGAGACGCTCTAAGAGGGCAGGAGAGGGCCAGTTAATGGTAGGAAAATGAGAAATGCTATGCTCACCACTGTATCCTAGCTCCTATCCCATATATGACATACTTGATGTTTCTTTAAAGAACGAATAATGCATTGGAATCGCCTGGGACAGGGCTTGGGTTGATGAGCACTGAAAACTACTGTGGTTTTCTAGGTACTGAGGTCTAATAGGGTGATAGCAGTAGGAAGATGTGTAAGTCTTGATCAGAAGGGCTCCTGGGTAGCTCAATCGTTTGAGCGTCCAATTGTTGATTTCATCTCAGGGCGTGAGTTCAAGCCCCACATTGGGCTGCATGCTGCTGGACATGGAGCATACTTAAAAAAAGAAAGAAAAAGACTTGACCAAAAATTAAATATACAAGGAGGTAAATACAGATTACTCCCAAATTCTGAACACCTGGGCACATGGGTGGTGGTGTTAATACTATTTGGGAAGACAGGAGGAGCAGATTTGGAAAGAAAAA